AAGAGTTTGTCTGAGGATGAACTGATTTCTGAGCAGCACTGAACACACCATAAGAAAGTTTGGTTATAAGTCAGAAGCTGAACCAGTCTAGACCTGGATGCGCCGTCACTGTGAAACTGTTCAAAGTGTGAAGGTGACATTTTGCATGGCTTCAGTAAATATACTAAAGTTACTGTAGAAAAAACGTCAGCTGATTCTGGCGGTCAGGTGACAGGACAGCACGACAGGATGTTCCTGGCAGAATATTTTGTGTGTATTTTACAAGAAGTTATTTTTAGCACTTAAATCCACTGAAATCATTTCGATTCATAGTTTTTTATTGTTTTCCATTTTGAATAAAGCATCATTGTTCCATACGCCAGAGAGCATCAAGTTCAACAGTGCGAGGCGTTCAGGTGCATCACTGCAGAATCGGAAATCATTGAAATGATAAAGAAGAAAAATAAAACAGGAAATGCTGATGAGAACAATCATATGTGGCTGTATGTGTGTTCATGCTCCCTCTTACATGCGTGGCACATAAAAGCTCCTAAAAATCTGCAGAAACACAAAGATGATGGATTTTTAAAATCACACCACTAAGGCTGCGTTCACACTGCAGGCGAAAGCGCATCAAATCCGATTTTTCTGACCCTCTGCGACCATCTATCCGATCATGGTCTGACAGTGTGAACGGCACAAATCCGATGTTTTCAAATCCGATCTGGGTCACTTTCGTATGTGGTGCTGAATCCGATACATATCCGATGTTTTAGAAAGCGACTGCTGTTTGATGGTCAAGTCGCATTAAATCCGTCTTTTACGTCACTGACACAAGACAGACGCTGATTATCAGCGCCCGAGAAGACATCGCGAACGCTTCCTGTCCATCCGGTGAAACTGCTGAGAAGACAACGTTGGAGAAACGTGAACATTTTATTTGTTCTGTATAATCTGCAGATTCTGACAGAAATCTGCAGCTATCCTTTGAAGCAGCGCTCCTCTCAAACAGCAATAAGGATAATTATTAGCTTATTTACATCATTATGGAAATAACAAAATAACTTAAAGCAAAAATTGGGAAACATGAAGTCCGAAGTCTTTATATTAAGGGCCATCAGTCAAACATGCTGTTGCTCTGGGTCTAAACAGAGCGCGTTGTGTGTGACGTCTTCTTTTGCGCATGCGCCGCTTTGAGCGTTCACACTAGAGCGCGTTTGCTGTCACATTTTATTTGTAGTTTGAACGAGCAGACAAAAAAATGGATTTGATCAAAAAATCTGAATTGAGCATCAAGACCTGCAGACTGAACGCAGCCTTGTAGATATCTGTATATGATTACTCCACATTAACCCAACATCACTGCTTACATCTTCTCGTCCACCGAAATCTTTTGTGTTATTTCTTATAATAAGAAACACTAATAGCTTTATTTATAGCTAGCTGTTTTTAACATTTAGATGAAAAGGATTTGTCCTACATACTCGTTCATAGTTTGGTACTTGAAAGGTAAAGGGCGACTTTTGGCTGCTCAATAAACTGAATGTGACTTTTTGAAAAGAGAAAATAATTCGATTGTGTTACAAAGTTCCTGCCCTGACGTCAGCATCCATAGGGAGGTTTGTGGAAAGGCAGACACTCCCGAGCTGTCCGAGCTCGGGCTGTTGTGTTCCTGAGGTGAATAAAAAGTAAAAGTCAACAGAACGGCCGAACCCTGTCGCGCTCATACGAGCTTCCTTTCAAAGCATTCGCTCAGGTGAGTCAGGCAGATGAATACCTATCAGCCTGTCAGTCATCATGAAACCCGAGCCCTCAAGCGCATTATACATGTGTTATATCTAAGGGCGTTTATAGCACTGATTACAGAGGGCCTGGCATGTTTCCTGTTATGAGATGTTAAAGCTGGATTTGGATTTAGAGTCCAGATTTGCCCGAACGACCCACCCAGCAAACATTTCCACCCTGACCAACGTCAGCTGAGGTCGTCTCTCAGCATCGTCTCGGTTTAAAAACAGCTCTGAAATAAAAGTTGTGCTGATGTCAGAGAACCAATTCTGCCATTGGCAGGACTGTTTGTTCAAATGCTGTTTTATATTTTTTATTGATGGCTGATGTTTATGGCACTTACATATGTCAGAAATATGAGGTATGTCTTGTTGTATAACTTGTTAGTATTTAAAAGTAGAATGGGAGGCAGAGCCTTCAGTTTTCAGGCCCCTCTTCTGTGGAACCAGCTTCCAGTTTGGATTCAGGAGACAGACACTATCTCTACTTTTAAGATTAGGCTTCAAACTTTCTTTTTGCTAAAGCATATAGTTAGGGCTGGACCAGCTGACCCTGAATCCTCCCTTAGTTATGCTGCAATAGACGTAGGCTGCTGGGGATTCCCATGATGCACTGGGTGTTTCTTCTTCACTCACTATGTGTTAACAGACCTCTCTGCATTGAATCATATCTGTTATTAACCTCTGTCTCTCTTCCACAGCATGTCTTTATCCTGTCTTCCTTCTCTCACCCCAACCAATCACAGCAGATGGCCCCGCCCCTCCCTGAGCCTGGTTCTGCTGGAGGTTTCTTCCTGTTAAAAGGGAGTTTTTCCTTCCCACTGTCGCCAAAGTGCTGCTCATAGGGGTCATATGATTGTTGGGTTTTTCTCTGTATGTATGATTGTAGGGTCGACCTTACAGTATAAAGCACCTTGAGGCGACAGTTGCTGTGATTTGGCGCTGTATACATAAAATTGAATTGAACTGAAGGCTTCATCTGTAACGTGGTACCTTCTACATTTAGATGAATATAAGATATTGATGCTGTGGAAACGATGCGTTAAAGTTAAACAAAGACAAATTTGTAACAAGATAAATACACATGATGACAAACAACGATACAATAAACTTTTGCAGATTTGTTTATTCAGATAAAATATAAAAGATTTTAAAAAAGCCCAGAGAAATGGAAACCTAAAACGAGTGAGCGTGTTTCTCTTTGCTGGTAACGGTTGCTGTGATGCTGACTCAGTTCAGAGCCCATCCCAGCCTCTTTATGTTGATATCGGCTTTATCACTCCTGCTAAACGCTCCCAAGTTCATACATTCCTCCGCAGCTCCGCCCGCTCCACGCCCGCCTTCTCTTTCTGTCTTTGTGACCGAGCTGCTTTGTTGGAAAGAATAAACTTAGACTTTGGTATGAAAAGATGAATCAAACCTGCAACAATGAGGATTTGCTTTCAGGCCACGATTGTCCTGCTGCAAACATAACAAACAAAAAAGTGGGACATTGGAGCCGCTGCCAAACCAACACACGCAATAAAAGTACAAATAATAGCAAAGTTATTACCAGGAAAGAAAAACAGTGGGAAAAAGAAGCACGAACATTTTTCAAAAACCCTCAATAGTCTTAAAAATAACACGAAGAATTGATTTAGGTGTAAAAAGAAGAGTACCATGGGACACAAGTGGAAACAGCTTCATATCATGTGAACTGTCAGTGTCACTGGCAGCTATAGAAACAGGGAAAACATGGAGCATATATAATTACAGGCACAACAGTGTGTTTGTATAGAAAACCACGTTTTGTATTCTGTAGCTTTTTATATCAATAATAATATAATTAAATGGCTGCTGAGTAGGTGAGACATTAATTCTCCAACAGTAAGGAGGGAAAATACATGTATGAAATGTTTAAAGTGTATTTATGCACTGGAACTGCACCTCAGCAGCCACTTCATTAGGTACACCTGGAAACGTTCCTGGAAACCAGATTTTGGTCCATGTCGATGTGACATCATCGTACAGCTTCCGCCACATCTCAAAGGCGCTCAGTGGGACTGAGATCTGTGACTGTGGACGTCATCTGGGCACCGTGAATTCATCGTCATGTTCAAGAAACCAGTTTGAGACGATCTGAGCTGTGTGACACGAGCAGCCAATCAGAAGATGGTGAATGTGGTCATAAAGGTTTGGACACGGTCAGTGACAAGACTCGGGTCGGCATGGAGTTGAAACGATGCTCGGTCGGTACCCCAAAGTGTGCCCCGAAAATATCCCCCAGTCCATCACACCACCGGTAGCGTGAACCGTTAATACAAGGCAGGGCGGATCCATGCGTTCATGCTGTTTACACCCAGTTCTGATCCTACGGACTCGGTAGATCAGTGTTTTTGTTTTTGGTGAGTGTTTGTGAGCTGTAGCTTCTGTTTCCTGTTCTTAGCTGACAGAAGTGGCCCCCGGTGTGGGCTGCTGAAGCCCATCTGCTTCGAGCTTCGATGTGTGGACGCTGGAGAGACTGTTGCCTTTATCAGCTGAGAGGTGTCCATTCTCATGGACCTCTGGCGGTGTCTCCCAGCTGCTCACTGCTGTTTTCTCGCTTTTGGACCGTTCTCTGTGAACTTGGAGATGGTGGTGTGGAAACATCCCAGCACATCTCCTTTTTCTGAAATGCTCAGACCAAAGTCACTTAAATCACTTCAGCCTGGCTTGAGCATGTCCAGATGTGTGAACGCACTGAGTTGGAGCCATGTGATTGGCTGATTAGATATTTGGATGAGCCTAACTGGTGTACCTAATGCAATGGCAAGTGAGGGTACATCCTGTCGCAAAAAATGACAAAAGATAAAGAATAAGAAGAGAAATAAAAGGTAATCTAACCTAACGATAGTCACAACATCAACTTAGGAATTAAAACTAATGTGAAATGATTTTGATTTGTAAGAGGAAACAAAGCCAAAGTAATACTGGTCAAATAGAAACGTAAATATGGAAGATTTTTCTAAAGATTGCAAAATGTGACAGACTGGAAGGAATGGAAATCAGATACATGTAAAATTTGTGTTATAATTGTGACAACATAATAAAAATATGATAACAAAAGTAAAATATAAATGCGCCTAAATCCACCGATCAGTGCAACTGCGTTTCTGATTTTTCTGTTTTGTTTCCCTTTAAATAAAATTGTATTTTCTGCTTTTTGTTGAGACCTTTAAAAAAAACAGCAAAGCAACAACAACAGTTTTTGTTCAGAGAATAAATTAATGTTCATGACATTAAAACAGTAATTATGACAGATGTTTGTAAAAAAGACTGAGAGATACAAAGTAAACGTGTTGCGTTGGTCTGATCCTCGATGAGTGGGCGTTTAGCTCGGCCGCTCGGTCTGCTCCTGGAAAAGACGAACGACGGGATGAGCATCGAGATTATTTAAGCAGCACTCGTTCCTCACTTATTCACCAAAAACACAACAACTGTGGGCGGAAGCAGCGAATATTATCTTAGTTATTGATTTTGGAATGTGACAATAAGAGTCATAAATCCTGCACCGTCATCGGGGTCATAAAGGGGGAAAAGGTGGAGAATGTAAACTGTGACCGGCAGGAATGATTTACAGACGTATGAACAGGCGTCACTTTACCCAGCGCTGATAACAAAAGCTAAAGCATTTTAGTGGCTGGGTTTTTAAAATATTTACTAAAACCAATATTCACTCAGCCCTTGTTTGTCCAATTCCTTTCAGTCATAGTCACTTTATTAAATTATGGGAAGGATTTTTTACATTTCCAGTTGAAACTTCAGTTGACTGTGACTATCCCAGTCCACAATCTGCAGTTTCTCTAACGTCCACTAGAGGTGCCAGCAGTGAGTCAGTCTGTTTAGTGCGTGATACAAAAAGTATGGAAGCCCGTTTCCGCCACTAAGTAAAAACAAAACAGCTAGTATCCGTAACTCGACATTTCGAGAAATATAACTCAAAATTTCGAGTTAGCTCTGCCAATCAAAAATATACGTGAATGAGGTCGCTTTCTTGTTACCCGGAAGCATATGGCGCAGGACCGCGCACTCAAAAACGGATCCCCACAAATTAAAGTATGTTTGCTGATAGTAACACCATGTGATTCAGCTAATAACAGGGATTTCATCATTTGTGAAGCCAGGCTGAAAACACTCAGCAATCTGTGCATGCACGACTGGATGTATTACCGGTAGCTTAGCTGTAGCATTTGTAGCTGAGGGCTTCAGCTTCCGGGTAACAAGGAAATGACGTCATTCACGTAGACTACTGATTAGCAGCGCTTTTCGAGTTGCTTTTCTCAAAATTTTGTGTTAATAAATTGAAATTTTGAGTTAATATGTCGAAATTTCGAGAAAATAACTCGAAGTTTTGAGTTATGGATCCTTTTTTTAGTGGCGGAAAC